CAAACTGCCAAACGAGCCTCTGGCGCCGCATGCCGAAATCATTCGATAGCCCTTGCGCGCGTGCTAGGGGGGGGCATGATCCGTGTCAAAGAACACCATGCGAGCCAATCTCGCGCGTCGGCCGCGCGCGCATGTCGAACTCTTTCCAAAACCTTCATCGCCGACGCGAGGACGCCGTCATCGTCGTCGGCGCGATCAGCATCGGCGCCCGCACTGGCCGTGCCGTTGTCGTTGTCAACATCGCCAGCAACATCGCTACGATCATCATCGTGTCTACCGTTGTCGACATTGCCATGATACTGCGCCCGCCCAAGCCGCCGACTCGCGCTCAAGTGCCCGCTGGGATGTGCCAAGCGGTCAGGGCCACCGCGGCCGCGCCGGTCGCGCCAAACTTGCTGGCCGCTGCGCGCGCGTGCTTGGGCCGGCACGGCCGCAGAGATAGATCAGCCAACGCCACACACCCATCCGCAGGTGTTTTGCAAACCAAGTTGCGGATAGGTGGGTGGGATGTTTGCCAGAGCATGGACTGTGTCAACTCGTTTGTCAGAAACCAATTGCACCACATAGGTCGCACCACAGATACTGCACCACATAGATTGCGCATCGCATAGATCGCACCACATAGAGTGTACCACATAATGAACCACGTCGATTGCACCACATAGGTGGCGCGACATACCGCACAGCACACATATTGCATCACGCTGGCTGCACCGCATAGATTGCTCCCAAAAAATGCACAACATAGATTGCACACCGTATGCTGCACAGCGTAGATTCACAACATGTGTTGCATCGCGTAGATCGCAGCACCTTTCTTGAAACATCATCAACTTCTCGTATGTTTCTGCAGCGCTATACCTCGGAATGCTTCGAGCAACAGCAAGGTTTAAGGACGAATTCGACACGCGCGGCTGGCGGCGCGCGCGTGTGGTCAGCATGGTGTTATTTGATCGCGGTTCGTGCGCTGGACGCGTGTCCTAACGCGCCGAATGCACTCCGTGATGAAGCGAGTACGGCTTCTGAGCGATTTTGCGAAAATCGGATGGTGCCCCAACAGATTTCAGCACGTGCGCGCGGGCAGAACATCTACAATCTGCTTAATGAGAAGCAAATGTCTTTGGATGTGCTTCTGTTCGGACGCTTGAAGCACTAATCTGTTTGGTATGGTTCCGACGGCAAAAAATTATAATGGAAACGTTGCCTTTTGATGGAAACGACTCTGCACTTATGGTATGAGTCGCCAAGGATGACGGGCAGGGACGATACCGCCGGCTGGCTTGCATGGTATTGCTTCATATGGACAGTGCGCGATGGGGCAGGCACGTATGTAAATTGCAATACACGGAGGGGTTTATCAGTCCAGGCTCGTGGTAGTACATTTTTCTCTTGTACGTTCCCGAATGTAATCGGTGTACATAATGGGTACGATGGCCATCAACAAATCTTGTTCAACACCGACCCTTGTTTTGGACCGCGTCTCAAACGAAAAGAAGGTGAGGGTAAGCGCTTCGCCCCCTATGGAGCTCTCCGGACCAATTTGCCCACGGTGCAGCATCAAACGAGCATCGTCGACAACTGGACCAGAGCCGGAGCGGAGAGCTAATGTTGTTCAAAACCGACAACACGCAGCCGCTGTTGGGCAGGCGACTTTCTGTCTCAATGGACCGCCACGCCCGCGGCGACACCAGCAACAAGTCCTGCTCAAAATGGGCAGGAACTGCTGTTCGCCTTCGTCCCTGTTCTTTGCGTGCCCTTTCCGTCGATACCGGAGCGAGGCCGCCCGCTGGCAGCGGGACCTCTCCAAGCCCGGTGGAGGCGCCGATGCAAGAGGCGCCCACGCAGCTGCTGGGGCCCAGCTCAGCCGGGGTCCAGAGTTCGATCATGGCGCAGCCGGCGGCACTAGGAGGGCCTGGACAGGAGCACCAAATGGGCGACGAAAAGAAAGGGGGTCTTGCGCACGATGACTTGGCGACCCCACGCGGTGGCTTACGCGGGCCGCCAGCGCGGCACACTACATAGGAAACGATGGCGCTTACGCGCCATCTTACACAGGCAACTTGCGCACGAATATCGGCACCATCGACCCCACTCCAGAGGATGCGGGGCCGGACGTGACTGTCCCGTGCTGCGGCGATGGTTCGCACGAAGGGGAATGCCATCGTCTTCAGGACATTGCAGCGTACGTTCAGCTGCAGCCAAAATGCGCCGAGAAGGCCGATTGAGAACATGTGGAGTAGTACGCATACGAGGAGGCTGCGGAGCCCAGCGCCCCAAGATACACGGAGGTCGAACAGGAGGTGGACACCACGGTCGACGAACTCCACAAGCAAATCGAGCCAGGGACCTTGGCTAATACTGATCCCGACATCGTGCAGCTGGTCATCCAGAAGTGGATTCCTTGCACATGGGCTGTGACACAACCCATGTCAGATGCCCACAACCGCTGTGGGCACTGGATACCTCCGTGCATGCAGGCTCGCGCCACTCATTGCGTTGGAAATCAACGCGCCTGGGCGGGGGAGAGAAGGAGGTGGATCGGAGCAGAGCAAATTGAGACAACGGCAACTCAAGATCTATCCCCGAGCCCTTCTTGGCGTCCAAACGCACCAATTTCCCGAGCTGCGTCCAGCCGTAGCGAAGAGGCCCCCCCCGAAGGCCATCTACCGTTATTTCAACTAAAGGAGGGACTGTCGAGGCGGAATGGCGCCGGCCTCCAGGGACAATGGACGCGAGTCCATGACACCGACGCCGCCGGAGAGGGGCGATCGGCATCTGCAAGCAAACTACTGTAACGAACAACATATGTTTTGGCTCCGAAGCCCCTCTCTGCTAGAGCTTGTTGTGAAGCTGATCGCGGTAACGCCCGTTACCAGGGCTGCCCCCCCTTCTCCACCCGCCCACCTGGTCACGCCACGGTTCGAGCTGGCGCTGTCTGGGAATGGCTAGGAGCAGCGAGCTCCCAGACGGCGCAAGCCCAAATCGTGACGTTACTAGCCCCCCATCCCCCCCTGGTAACGCCCGTTACCGCCAGAGGAGAGGGAGTAGACAGAAGCGGTACCACCACCACCGTCGCGACAGGAGCCCAAAGGAGGGTCCTCCCTGCTGATGCGGTGCCACCTCTGTGCGGCGCCACGCCCAAGACTGTTCCTTCATCCAGGACGGGGATGCATCGGTGGACCTCCTCGCTGGATGTGGTCAGCTGAAGGTGGCTGAGTCGCTTCTCATCCGTACGATACTTTAGGACAGCTGTAGTTTGTCTGGCTCGCTGTCTGCCCAACAGTGCTTGCTAATCGTGACAGAGAACTGCTCAAGTATTACTCCTTGTTTCCGTTCTGCCCCACGTGCAGCCCACCGCCATTACCACAAGATACGGATATCTATCAATTGCTGCCGGCTCTCGTCCACACGATGTGCGTGCCACCTCAGCTTTCCGCGGGGCTCTCGTGCCAGACCCGTTCTGATTACCTCCCAGATCTATCTGCTGTGCGCGCTCCCGACCCTTGGAAATAGGAGCATGCTGACGCCATCCCTCCAAGCTGGAGCCTGGAGCCCAAATAAGTTACTTGAAGACTACTGCAATGATATTCTGATCGTCCTTCTTGCCATGCCTGGTCATCGACTATCTACAACAGCCGGGAGCAGTGGTTGCAGAACTACAGTCATCACGCTACCATGAGGAGCGCTGAATAAGGAACGAGGGGGCTTTTGTGGCCACGGCGAGCCTCGGCCACGAATCAGATCTCCGAGTTAGATCATAGGAGCGGCCCGGGAGTCAGAGCCCCTCCTGAGCCCAAAGTGGTCCTTATTTGAGCGTCTTGACAGTAGTCTACTTCCTGGTGCTGGTTCGCCCAGGGCCACCATGGCGTTGCGAACCCTCTGGCGACACGCTGTCAGCTCAATCCAGAGCTGAGGTACTAGAACGCCCCAGGGCAAATCGGATCCGTAATCCATGACGCCTCTGGGCACGGCTGATCGGCCCCTCCTCTTGCCCCGCTGGGGGTTCTGCAACACGTCCGGGCCCGCACTCCCAACACGCAGCGTGCACCAGCCGGGCTGAACTACGGCAGGAGGGCGACGACTTGGAGGCGGCCAGGGGGTCTGAGCTGGATGGGTCCAGCTTAAAAAACCGATCTCGACAGGGGGACCAGGGCCGATCGATCTACAGATTCCTCGTGGGGTTTATGAAGGGGCCCTGGAACACACAAATAAATACACACAAATAAAATTGTTCCCCATATTTCCCCATATTTTCCCATATTTTCTGGGTTTTTGTCTTCCCGCCCAATTCCCATATTTTCCCACATTTTCCAGGGACTCGACGATTAATTGTGTCTGTGTGTTTCTTTCCCTCCTGCGTTTAGCTGGCACTCCGCAACCGTTTCCGACGGTCCCGGGGCCGCCCACGGAGGCAGCACAGGGGAACGGAAGCCTTCTCGAGCCCAGCACCTCCCACCTCAGCCTCGCAGCCAGCTCCAAGCGGCGACTCCTGTGCACACTTCGGGTTGGCCCAAAAGGGCGTCCAGCGACAAGGGGGTGGTGCAATAGGTTTGGTGCAATAGGTTTGTGAGGTTGCAGTAGATTCGGGGCGAGCAATCGATACAATGCCGGGCGAGAATGTATTGCTGGGCTCTCGCGTGCAAGACACTCGTTGCAATACAATGCAATACAAGTCTCCGGCGCAGTACACTTGCAAAACACTCTCCCAAAATCTAGTGCACCTTCCCCTTTCAGCTGGACTCCCTTCCCTTTTGGGTCGCAAGGAGTTCTCACCATCGCTCGGACGTCCATTCCCCGTGCATTTTTCGATTTCGTGTGAGCATTTTTCGCTAAATGATCAAGGATGTTCCTCGATGGTCCTCGCCGAGCAAAAATGTACACGTCCGAGCGATGCCAAGAGTACTGGGAGATGGTCTCGGAGCCCGTGGTGGCTCGGGCCTGCGAGCGAACGCGCCTCGGCCGGAACTCGGGCGAGCCTACCGCGGCTCGCCCGGCCGCCCTCAGGCCTTGATGGCGGCGCCGCTGCGCGGGTCGGTGATCGTGAAGGAACCGGCGCCCCTCGGGCAGGGTCAGTATCGGGGATGGGCAGACCCCCCGTTAGTAAAACGTGGTTTAGTGAAAACGACCTGAGGCCCAAACCTGGCGGGCGCAAGCCTGGAAAATAACGGCCACGGCGCCCTCTCGAGAACCGAAAACGGACAATTCACGAATCGACGTGTCACTGTTAGGGGTTCTGTCCACCCCCGACAGTAGACATCGGATCGGGAATCGGATCGGATCGAAGTTTGCCTCAGATCGGGCTGCACCGGCACGGGATCGAAACCGAATCGGACCGGTTGCGCTGGGGATGCACAACGACGCCGCGCAGGCACTGGGCTGCATCGCTTCGACGGAATCTCGGAATCGAGCTGGATCAGGCCTGCTACAACCTATATCGAAGCGGATCGATCGGATCGAGACCTAAGTATCCGCCGAACTTTTGGCATAAAAAAGAAAGGTCCCGGGCCCCAGAGGTCCCGACCCGTTCCCCCGGTGTAGTTTTCGTCCTGGCACAAATTGGTGACGGTCCTGGGACCCAGCGACGGGCCCAAGAGGACGAAACCGAGGAAACACGCCCGGACTGAAATAGTCATACCCTCGGAGATCTGGGGATGCACCCAGCCTCGGGAGGGAGAAGTCCAGGGCGCGAACGACGTCGCCGCTGCCGGGGTCGATGATGGCCATGGCCTTGCTGGAGAGCCCAGATTCACTCCAATACCTCGGATCGGCGATCGGCATGAATCGGATCAGCAGAAATCGGAGGGCTGGTCAAAGCCTCCATTGAAACGCCGACACCCAGTTCGGAATCCGAGGTCGAATCGAATCGGAGCGGGAGTCGGTCAAGATCGAACCGAATCGAGCCAGAGGGGTCGAGACGAGCCCTGCCTTACGCTCCGCCCTCCTGAGCGGCTCCACGAGCGGGGACCTCGCCTCGATCGGCTTCTTGGTCCTGGGGTCCAGGATCTGGAACTGCTTCCTCGACTCGCCCTGGCCCGGCATCTCCGCCAGAGCCTGCGTGAGGTCCCCCCTAGACAAAGGCGCTGGGGTCTCAGACATGCTCGCTCGGGCGTTGGCAGAACACGGTCTAATGGGACCTGGTTTAGTGATGTGTACCAGGGGACGCCCCCCCCGCCCGTTCCACTAACCAGAACTGCCGTCACCCGAGAAAACACTATAGCTACGGCAGACCTGGTTTAGTGATTCTGGCCAATTTAAGGGGCTCGGGGGCCCTGCCACTAACCAAATCCCCTTACCTGGGGTCCTGGCCATCACCGGCTCGCGCCGTCAGAGATCGGGACGGGCGGTTTTTCGCTGCTTCCGGCCTCCGCAGGCCCCCGCCTGGCCCCCGGGACGAGGAAGAGCCGGCTCGGAATGAAGGGCCGGTCCTGGGAAATGCGTCGAGACCTCTGGGGGTCCACGCGATCAACAAAAAACACGCTACTGAGGAGCCCCACATACCTATCTTAGGTCCTGCGTGGGCATCTCATGTTGCACCCTGCTTTGTTCGAACGTGCTATGGGCGTGGGCCTTTGTGATGCGGCGAAGCGGCGTGTGGAGAAATGCCACGCCTGCCACGCCCCGCAACCTGCGATGGATAGTGACCGCGGTGAGGAACCACCCCCTGTGCACCCCCTGTGGTGTGGAGAAATGCCACGCCTGCCACGCCCCGCAACCTGCGATGGATAGTGACCGCGGTAAGGAACCACCCCCTGCGCACCCCCTGTGTTGTGGAGAAATGCCACGCCTGCCACGCCCCGCAATCCTGAGACGGATAGAGACCGCGGTGAGGGCACACCCACTGCGCATCCCCTGTGGTATGGCGGAAATGCCACGCCTGCCACGCTTCCGACCCTTGCACGCATAGAGACCGCGCTAAGGGACTACCCCTTGTGCACCACCTCTGGTGTCGAGAAACTTCCACTCTCTGGGATATCTATGCTGTGTGTACGGCTGTATGTGGACGTGGGGGTGCCGTGTATTATGCAATGCTGCGTATGCCTCTGATGCGTGTGCGCGGCTAGCGTGTGCGAAGCATGCGTGCGTATGTCTTGTGTGCGTACGTCTGACGCGTGCACAAGCGTGGAGGAGTGGTGAGGAGGGGTGAGCAGTGGTGGGTGCACGCGGGCGCGACGCGCGGATTGCGAGAACACCGTAGCCCCACTTAGCATGTGGGGAATCATGACGTCGGGGGCCTGGGGAGGCCCCCCTCCCAACAAAGGGGACTGGGGCTTGGAGGCGGCTGGGGGGGCCGCTCTGGATGGTCACCAGCAGAACCCACGAGGAAGGCCAAGGAGCAGATCCGGCATCCAGTGCCCATCTGGAGAAGCGGCCCAGAGGTGACAAGGAGCGAAACCTGTGTGCAATGGTGCCGCTCCCCCGCTGTCAGGCTGGAACTAACAATGATGCCCCAGCTCAGCCCCCCCAGCCGGCTCCAAGCTGGGGTGACGGAGCCAAAAGATCCCACCGCATCGCCCATCCTGACATCCGCCGATATGCTTTCTCAATCCGTGGCCCCAGAGGTCACGACCGTTTCCGCGGGGGCAATTCTTCATCCCAGATCCGTCTCTAATGGTCCCAGGGCACGATAGCGGGCCCTGGGTCGGAATCGAAGAAAAAACGTGCGGATTGGACAAGTCATAGTATGCATCAGCGACGTCCGGGCGGAGAGAACCGCGCTGCGGATCGCGCCGCGCCGCCTATGCGTCGGCGATGCGGCGGTATCCTCCCACTCGATCAGCTCCGTCCCAATTTGGGCGGCCCGCAGAGGGGAGGAGGGAGGGAGCGTCGAGAACCAAGGATCGAGAACGTCTCGAGAAGCTCAACGCGATGTTTTTACCTAACAGCGAAGACTGATAGGTTTCTAATGGTCTCAAAAGAAAGCATCGTGACTCCCCAGGCGGGTCCGGGCAGGATCCGGGGAGAATCCGCGGATCCGCCAGTGACTATGGTGAACGCACCACTGAGGCTGAGGCGGATGCCCCCAGCACCGCCAGTGACTATGGGGAATGCACCACTGAGGCTCAGGCTGATGCCCCCAGCGCCGCCAGTGACTATGGGGAACGCACCACTGAGGCTGAGGCTGAGGCCCCCAGCGCCGCCAGTGACTATGGGGAATCCACCACTGAGGCTGATGCTGAGGCCCCCAGCGCCGCCAGTGACTGTGGGGAATCCACCGGTGAGGCTGAGGCTGAGGCTGAGGCAGGCTCAAGCTGAGGCTGAGGCTGAGGCTGAGGCTGAGGCTGAGGCAGGCTGAGGCTGATGCAGGCTGAGGCTGAGGCCGAGGCTGACGCAGGCTGAGGCTGAAGCAGGCTGAGATTGAGGCTGAGGTTGAGGCTGAGGCTGAGGCAGGCTGAGGCTGAGGCTGAGGCAGGCTGATGCTGAGGCAGGCTGCGGCTGAGGCTGAGGCTGATGCAGGCTGAGACTGAGGCAGCCTGAGGCTGAGGCCGAGGCTGAAGGCAGACTGAGGCTGAGGCTGAATCAGGCTGAGGCTAAGGCTGAGGCAGGCTGAAGCTGAGGCTGAGGCAGGCTGATGCTGAGGCAGGCTGAGGCTGAGGCTGAGGCTTATGCAGGCTGAGGCTGAGGCAGGTGGAGGCTGATGCTGAGGCTGAAGGCAGACTGATGCTGAGGCTGAAGCAGGCTGAGGCTGAGGCTGAGGCAGGCTGTGGCTGAGGCTGAGGCAGGCTGATGCTGAGGCAGGCTGAGGCTGAGGCTGAGGCCGAGGCTGATGCAGGCTGATGCTGAGGCAGGCTGAGGCTGAGGCCGAGGCTGCAGGCACACTGAGACTGACGCTGAAGCAGGCTGAGGCTGAGGCTGAGGCAGGCTGAGGCTGAGGCTGAGGCAGGCTGAGGCTGAGGCAGGCTGAGGCTGAGGCTGAGGCTGAGGCAGGCTCAGGCTGAGGCTAATGCAGGCTGAGGCCGAGGCTGCAGGCAGACTGATGCTGAGGCTGAAGCAGGCTGAGGCTGAGGCTGAGGCAGGCTGAGGCTGAGGATGAGGTTGAGGCAGGCTGATGCTGAGGCAGGCTGAGGCTGAGGCTGAGGCTGATGCAGGCTGAGGCTGAGGCAGGCTGAGGCTGAGGCCGAGGCCGACGGCAGACTGAGGCTGAGGCTGAAGCAGGCTGAGGCTTAGGCTGAGGCAGGCTGAGGCTGAGGCTGAGGCAGGCTGATGCTGAGGCAGGCTGAGGCTGAGGCTGAGGCTGATGCAGGGTGAGGCTGAGGTGAAGTGGTCTCTTCGCAGCGTCTGTCTTAGGTTGAGGTCTGAGGCTGAGGCTGAGGCTGATGCAGGCTGAGGCTGAGAGGCTGACGCTGAGGCTGAGGACTGCGACTGCCGTTGCCACATGCGACGGTCATCGTCGAATGGCGACTTACGACTGCGAGAAACAGCAGAATTCTACACAAACTGGATTATCATCTGAATCTTAAGGGGAATGCTATCCAGATATGCTCTAACATCGCTGTTAGGTTGCTTTGCCGGGAGAATTTCCATCTTTTGGCAGCTCGCCCGGTCCGGGGACCGTCGAGGGCAACACTCATGAGCAGTGAAGGGGCCCAAGGACACACAAAATAAATACACACCAATACAAGTATTCCCCATATTTAATATTTACCCAACATCGAAAGACTGAGTAGGTTTTCTAGTGGGGTCAAAAGAGAGCATCATGACTCCTCTGGGGGGTCGGGGCGGGACCCGGGGCGGGACCCGGCGCGGCTGCCGTCGAAGCCCAAATCGCTTTGGACATCCTCGCAAAATCGCTCTTGGCGCTGCTAGAACTTCATTCCCGGCGTACATTTTGGATGCCTGGAGCCAACTGTAGGCCACTTCGTGCTCTTCGACTTTCCAGAACTCCATTCCCGGGGCACATTGTGGATGCCCGGAGCCAACTGTAAGCCACTTGCTTGGTCTTCGAATTTCCCAGAACTCCATCCCGGGCCACATTTTGAATGCCCAGAGCCAAACTGTAGGCCAGCCAACTGTAGGCCACTTCGTGTTCTTCGATTTCCCAGAACTCCATTCCCGGGCCACATTTTGGATGCCCGGAGCCAACTGTAGGCCACTTCGTGCTCTTCAAGTTCCCAGAACTCCATTCCTGGGCATGATTTTGAATGACCGGAGCCAACTGTAGGCCACTTCGTGTTCTTCTAGTTCCCAGAACTCCATTACCGGCGCCACATTGTGAAATGTGCCTGCTGCGGAGGCTGAGGCCCTGAGCAGGCTGAGGCTGAGGCAGGCTGAGCTGAGGCCGAGGCGAAGGCAGACCTGAGGCTCAGGCGAAGAGGCTGAGGCTGAGGCTGAGGCTGAGGCTGAAGCGGCTGAGGCGGAGGCAGGCTGAGCTGAAGGCTCAGGCTTGATGAGGCTGAGGCTGAGGCAGCATGAGGCTGAGGCCGAGGCTGCAGGCAGACTGAGGCGAGCTGAAGCAGGCTGAGCTGAGGCTGAGGCAGGCTGAGGCTGAGCTGAGGCAGGCTGATGTGAGGCGGGCTGAGGGCTGAGGCTAGGCTGATGCAGGCTTGGCTGAGAGACTGAGGCTGAGTCCGAGGCGGAAGGCAGACTGAGGCTGAGGGTGAAGCAGGCTGAGGTGAGGCTGAGGCAGGCTGAGGATGAGGGGCTGAGGCAGGATGAGGCTGAGGCAGGCTGAGGCGAGGCTGAGGCTGATGCAGGGTGAGGCTGAGCAGTGAGGGTGAGGCAGAGGCTGAAAGGCAGACTCGAGGTGAGGCCTGAAGCAGGTGAGGTCAGGCTGAGTTATAGACGAGGCGGAGGGCTGAGGCAGGCTGATGCTGAGGCAGGCTGAGGCTGAGGCTTGAGGCCGATGAGGCTGAGGATGAGGCAGGGCTGGGTGATAACCGAGGCTGAAGGCAGACTGAGGCCGAAGGCTGAAGCAGGCTGAAGCAGACTGAGGCTGAGGCTGAGGCAGGCTGAGGCTGAGGCTGAAGCAGGCTGATGCTGAGGCAGGCTGAGGCTGAGGCTGAGGCTGATGCAGGCTGAGGCTGAGGCAGGCTGAGGCTGAGCCCGAGGCTGAAGGCAGACTGAGGCTGAGGCTGAAGCAGGCTGAGGCTGAGGCTGAGGCAGGCTGAGGCTGAGGCTGAGGCAGGCTGAGGCTGAGGCTGTGACTGCGACTGCCGTTGCCACTGCGACTTTCATCGCGAATGCGACTGCGACTGCGAGAATAGCAGAATTCTACAACTGGATTATCATGTGAATCTTAAGGGGAATGCTTCCAGATATGCTCCTACACATCGCTGTTAGGTTGCTTTGCCGGGATATGTTTTTTTTTTGTGTGTGTTTTTGTCTTCCCGCCCAATTCCCATATTAACCTAACAGCGAAGACTGATAGGTTTCTAGTAGTGTCAAAAGAGAGCATCTTGACTCCCCAGGGGGGTCTGGGCGGGTGCCAGGGAGAAGCCGCGGAAGTCGTTTTAAGCAAACAGTTACACACTTCGTGGTCTTCGAGGCTCCAGAACTCCATTCCTGGGCATGATTTTGAATGCCCGGAGCCAACTGTAGGCCACTTCGTGGTCTTCGAATTCCCAGAACTCCATTCCTGGGCATGACTTTGAATGCTCGGAGCCAACTGTAGGCCACTTCGTGTTCTTCGAGTTCCCAGAATTTCATTCCTGGGCATGATTTTGAATGCCCGGAGCCAACTGTAGGCCACTTCGTGGCCTTCGAATTCCCAGAACTCCATTCCTGGGCATGATTTTGAATGCTCGGAGCCAACTGTAGGCCACTTCGTGGTCTTCGAGTTCCCAGAATTCCATTCCTGGGCATGATTTTGAATGTCTGGAGCCATTTGTAGGCCACTTCGTGTTCTTCGAGTTCCCAGAACTCCATTCCCGGGCCACGTTTTGAACGCTGAAGCAAGCAGGCTGAGGCTGAGGCAGGCTGAGGCCGAGGCAGGCGGAGGCTGAGGCCGAGGCTGAAAGCAGACTGAGGCTGAGGCTGAAGCAGGCTGAGGCTGAGGCTGAGGCAGGCTGAGGCTGAGGCTGAGGCAGGCTGAGGCTGAGGCTGCCTGAGGCTGAGGCCGAGGCGGAAGGCAGACCGAGGCTGAGGCTGAAGCAGGCTGAGGCTGAGGCTGAGGCTGAGGCAGGCTGAGGCTGAGGCTGAGGCAGGCTGATGCTGAGGCAGGCTGAGGCTGAGGCTGAGACTGATGCAGGCTGAGGCTGAGGCAGGCTGAGGCTGAGGCCGAGGCTGAAGGCAGACTGAGGCTGAGGCTGAAGCAGACTGAGGCTGAGGCTGAGCAGGCTGAGGCTGAGGCTGAGGCAGGCTGATGCTGAGGCAGGCTGAGGCTGAGGCTGAGGCTGATGCAGGCTGAGGCTGCAGGCTGAGGCTGAGGCCGAGGCTGAAGGCAGACTGAGCCTGAGGCTGGCAGGCTGAGGCTGAGGCTGAGGCTGAGGCAGGCTGAGGCTGAGGCTGAAGCAGGCTGAGGCTGAGGCAGGCTGAGGCTGAGGCTGCGAGGCTGAGGCTGAGGCCGAGGCTGAAGGCAGACTGAGGCTAGGTGAAGCAGGCTGAGGCTGAGGCTGGGCAGGCTGAGGCGAGGCGAGGCAGAGCTGATGCTGAGGCAGGCTGAGGCTGAGGCAGGCTGAGGCTGAGGCCGAGGCTGAAGGCAGACTGAGGCTGAGGCTGAAGCAGACTGAGGCTGAGGCTGAGGCAGGCTGAGGCTGAGGCTGAAGCAGGCTGATGCTGAGGCAGGCTGAGGCTGAGGCTGAGGCTGATGCAGGCTGAGGCTGAGGCAGGCTGAGGCTGAGGCCGAGGCTGAAGGCAGACTGAGGCTGAGGCTGAAGGCAGGCTGAGGCAGGCTGAGGCTGAGGCTGAGGATGAGGCTGAGGCTGAGGCTGAGGCTGAGGCAGGCTGAGGCTGAGGCAGGCTGAGGCTGAGGCCGAGGCTGAAGGCAGACTGAGGTGAGGCTGAAGCAGGCTGAGGCTGAGGCTGAGGCAGGCTGAGGCTGAGGCAGGCTGAGGCTGAGGCTGAGGCAGGCTGAGGCTGAGGCTGTGACTGCGACTGCCGTTGCCGCTGCGACTGTCATCGCGAATGCGACTACGACTGCGAGAACAGCAGAATTCTACAACTGTATTCTCATCGGAATCTTAAGGGGAATGCTTCCAGATATGTTCCTACACATCGCTGTTAGGTTGCTTTGCCGGGATAATTTCCAATATTTTCTGGGGAATCGAAGATTACTTATGTCTGTGTGTTTCTCCTCCTCCTTGGAAAGGACCAGACCTCCAGGGACCTCGCAAGGAGAAGCTCAAGGCATCGGATGTGTCTGGGCGGAGCGCGACTGCGCCCCCTCGTCGACACCTCGGAGAACTATCGGGGGACCCCCTCGGGAGGGAGATCCCTGAGGGGGAGGCAGCGATAGGGGAGAGGGAGAGCATTGGTGAGGGGAACAAAAAGTGACGTAAACATACAAACTCGGAGGTCCGCGCGGATGTCTCGGATCGGCGCTGGACCCCCCTGGCGGCGCCTCCGGCGCCGCCCCTGGCGCGCTCCGCGCGCCAGGGAGGGGGGTCCAGCGCGGATCCGAGAAATCCGCGCGGACCTCTGATTTTTTATGTTTATGTCACTGTTTGTTCCCCTAGGTACTGCTTGGGGGGGGCGGCCTGTGCGCAACCCGACGATGAGGATCATTTTTTTCTGAGGGGGTCTTGACGTTTTGGGGACACAGCCCGAAGCCTCCCACCCACGGTTTCTGCGCCGCCACGCAACTGGCTGTAACGAGCAGCCTGGAGGCCTGACGCAGGGGGGGCTTGCTTTTTGGGTGGGGGCGGCGGCCTGTGCATGACCCGAAGCCTCCTGCCCGGAGGATCTTGACGTTTCTAGGGGGCCCCAGGACTCCTTGGTGGCTGGACTACAGGGGCACTTCTGGGCGAAAGATCAAAAAAGTCTGAGAACGTACCCTCAAAATGATCAAACATCGTCAAAAACATCGTCCCCAGACTATTCTATGACCTTCCCTCTCGTAGAGCGACAAGCCCGACTTGACCCCAGGACTCCTGGCTGGCTGGGTCCAGCATCTGGAGCGGCTCGCCGCCGGCTGGCGCCGCCGGCGCCTCCGGCGTGAAGTCGAACGCGGGGGCGTCGGCGCGCATGCCCTGCCCGGCATCCCCACAGATCCGATGTCGCGATTTTTTCAATGCGGGGTCCCCGGAAGTCTCGACCCATTCCCCAGGACCGGTTTTTCATCCTGAGTCGTTTCTTGACGGTCCTGGGGCCCAGCGAGGGCCGCTGGGAGGCCGAAAATCGAGAAACACCTCTGTCTTGATTGTTTCAATACGTTGGAGGTCTGGGTCGGGGGCGAACGGCCGGGGACTTTGGCTCGGCGCGTCGCGGCGGCGGTCCTCCGGCCGCTCTCCGTGGCGCCTCCCGGAGGACCGCACGCTGCGAGGGCCCTCCCGCCGCGCGCTTTCTCTTCCCTTGCCGTCGCTCGGACGTCCATTTCCCGTGCATTTGTCGGTTTCGTGCGTGTGTTTTTGCTCGATGGTCCAGGATGGTCCTCGATGGTTCTGCGGTGCCAAGTTCCCGCTCTCCTGCTTGCGTCCCTTCGGTCTTCCCTTCCTTCCGTCCGCGCCGCAGTGCGCTACGGCAGTATATGCACAGGCGACCTCTGGCGAACTTCGCCATGTGCCTTCAGGGAGGGCGGGCGGTGTCTGGAGTCGCTGGCCCTCCGTGGTGATCGGCGCGCCGCCACCCCTCCCCGAGAGGCCCACGCACGCTCCATGGGACGGCGTGCACACACGCCTGTGGCGGCGGGCGCATTTTGCTGCGACGTGTCCCACCGTTGCCACACGGAGGAGGAGGAGAAGGAGGGGGAGAAGAAGGAGAAGGAGAAGGAGAAGGAGAAGGAGAATGAGGAGGAGGAGGAGGAGGACGAGCAGGAGGAGGAGGGGCAGGGCGACGGCAGGACGGAGGCATCTCGGCTGCACGCCGAGTGGCCCTGCCTCGGAAAGCTCCAAACGGATGTAGGTTTCTGCTGATTTCGGTCTCTGGGGGCCATCGCCGGGCCCTGGGACCGTCAGATCGACTTAGGTTGAGGAGCTGGCCCTGGTCGAAGGGCCGGGACTTCCGGAGACCCCGTATTGAGAAACTCAAGGCGTCGGAGGACATCTGTGAAGGGGCCCTGAGACACTCCAATAAATACACAAGTAACAGGATCCCCTATATTTTCCCCTATTTTCTGGGTTTGGGTCTTCCCCCCCGCTTCCATTACTTTCCCATATTTCGGGGGAATCGACGACTTATTGTGTCTCTGTGTTTCTTCCCTCCCGAGTCTGGGCAGGCCCAGCAAGGGTGACCCGTGGTTCTCGGCTCCGGGGGGGCCAAAATATGGGAAAGTATGGGAAGCGGGGGGGAAGACAAAGACCCAGAAAATATGGGAAAATATGGGGGATCGACGACTCATTGCGTCTCTGTTTTTTTTCCCCCCCTCCTGAGTCTGGGCAGGCCCAGCAGGGGTGACCCGTGGTTCTCGGCTTCGGGGGGGGGGGGCCGCGGGAGCGCCGACTCTCCAGGCATCTGGCCGGTGCTGGGGGGGCCCCATGCCGACCAGCCACCACTGGGGGAGCTGTGGTCCTTACCTCCTCCTCCTCCTCCTCCTCCTCCTCCTCCTCCTCCTCCTCCTCCTCCTCCTCCTCCTCCTCCTCCTCCCCACTGGGCCTCCCCCCTCCCCCCACCTCCCTCTGCGCGTGGCTGAACAACTGGGGGAGCTGTGGTCCTTACCCCGCTGGGGGAACCCATCGCATCGACGATCTCTCTCTCGAGAGGGGTGTCGAAATCGCTGGGTCCCCCAGGGGGGTAAGGGCCACAGCTCCCCCAGTTGTGACCGGCCTGCCGTGGGCCCGCACCCGACGATCACGCTGGCGAAGGGTCAGAGAGCCGGCGGACCATCTGTGACTACCTACCAGACCACCCCAACCCAACCCGAAGACCCGAATTTCGGGTTGGGGGGGTAAGGATTCCACATGTGATTTTTCGATGTTTCCCGACCCCCCCCCACTGGAAATCGAGGGTAAATTTGAGCCTTCGGGTTGGGTTGGGGTGGTTTGGTGGGTGGTGAATCTGGGCGATGCGTCCGGGTGCGGCCATCGCGGCCGTTCCACAGCGTGCCAGAACGCTCTCGGGAGCGTTCCAGAGCGGGGCGGCCCTCGGGGCTGGCTTTGGATCCCGAGCCGCGTGTGCTGCTGGCCCCGCGGGCCCCGGGAAGGGGCCCCTGGAGCCCGAGCACGGCGAAACGCCTCCAGGAACTCTGCCCTCCAGAATTTCTTTCCTCCATTCGAGTCGGAGGCCGACTACACAGAGTTGATGTGCCAAAAACTTGCCCTGTGAACCCACTCTGGGAGGAATGCGTCGAAGGTTCCGTAGATCTGCGGAGCGTTCTACCGATTTGTCGTAGGTTCGACGAGACAATTGATCGGCGGTGGACGCACCTCCCTTTAGTAGACCTCCCCTTAGTGAAAACGGCCTGGGACCGACACCGACGGACCTGGACCCGCAAAAATGACGGCCGCGACGCCCTCTCGCGAAGCGAAAACGGCCAGTTCCCGAATCGACGTGTCAGGGTAGGAGGCCTGTCCAACCCCGAATTGAACTTGGGGGGTAAAGCAATCCTGTAGCCGAGGAGGGCCGTGCGACCTTATCCTCCTCCTCCTCCTCCTCCTCCTCCTCCTCCTCCTCCTCCTCCTCCTCCTCTCCTCCTCCTCTCCATTCTCCTCCTTCCTCTTCTCATTCTCCTTCTCCTTCTCCTTCTCCTTCTCCTTCCCTCCTCCTCTCCTCCTCATCCTCCTCCTTCTTCCTCCTTCTCCTTCCTCCTCCTTCTTCCTCCCAGGACCTTTCTGGGGGGGGGGCGGGTGCCCCTCGGCGCCCGAGCGCCGACAGGGACGCGGCCGTCGAGCGACGAGGAGCCTCCCGGAAGGCCATGAAGAAAGGACGGAGGGCAGACTCGGGACAAGATTGGACCGGTATCTATCACTGCACCGACCTTGCAGACACGCATCCGTCCCTCCTCCTCCTCCTCCTCCTCCTTCTCCTCCTGGCATTTCTGGCACTTCTCCTCCTCCTCCTCCTCCTCCTCCTCCTCCTCCTCCTCCTCCATATCCTCCTGGCATTTCTGGCATTTCTCGCTCCGAGCAGCGTCTCACAGGCGCCTGGAGCGCGGAGCGCCCCGCGTCAGCCCACCAGGGCCGTGCGACCTTATCCTCCTCCTCCTCCTCCTCCTTCTCCTCCTCCTCTTCCTCCGTCTCCTTCTCCTTCTCCTCCTCCTTCTCTCCTCCTCCTCCTCCTCCTCCTCCTCCTCCTCCTCCTCCTCCTCCTTCCTCCTTCTCCTTCTCCTTCTCCTCCCCCTCCTGGTCGTCGCCGATCTCTTCCCGCCGATGTCTTTCAAGGTCGACGGCAACGGCCGTCAGGCCTTCACAATCGGACCGGTATGTCACTGCACCGACCTTGCCGACGTGCTGCAGCGAATTCTGGCGTGGATTTCTGCCAGCCTGACTACCTACCAGACCACCCCAACCCAACCCGAAGACCCGAATTTGACCCGAATTTCGGGTTGGGGGGGGTACGGATACCATATGTTTTTTCAACGTTCCCCGACCCCCCCCCCACTGGAAATCGAGGATAAATTTGGGCCTTCGGGTTGGGTTGGGGTGGTTTGGTGGGTGGTGACAGCCAGTGCACAACCCCGAAACGGCGAGCGAAAAACGGAGTGAAAATCACGTGGATTGTTACGAGTCGTCATGCCTGACTGAAGCAAGTTCGGAACGGAATTCCGCGGGATACTCCGGGCCCATCCTACCGTTTTCCGAACGAAATCCGCTCTGCGATGTTGGCGCCATGCGATATGAATCGGAATTCTCTGAGAATCGGCGGCCTGAAGATGCAGCGGGCGCCGCGGCCGTTTCGGAGCGTTCCGAAATGCTCCGAGAACGTTCCAGAACACTCTGGAACGGACTTGTCTCGATTCAAGGCCCGTCCAAAAATGGCCAAAGATGCCCAGAAACCCACCGTCGAATCTCTCCTAAGATCCGGCGTCGCCAAAAGATACAACCTCGACTTTCTGACACTTTGTCTGGGCCAGATCGACCCGTGAGGGCGGGCCCAGGGGCTTGAAATTCATTGGGTACATACGTGGAGAAGTCTTTCTATCGGAAATCGAAGGGCACACAGTTCGGTAGACCTTGGACCTCGCGAAACTCCAACGGGTGCCAAGAGACGTCCAAGAGTAAGAAACGTCCGTGGGGCACCTGCTGACAGGCCGACTTTCCATTCGATGTGCCCACTGTGCGGCGAAGTCGCCAGGTGTGAAAAAAAACACAACGGCGTGACGATCTCGGTGGATCGATCCGCGAACGTCGGCAGCGACCTTCCCTCCTTCGCGGTGAACAGGTAATGACGTCGGGGGTCCGCGCGGATTTCTCGGATCGACGCTGGAGACCCCCGGCGGCGCCTCCGGCGCCGCCCCTGGCGCGCTCCGCGCGCCAAGGAGGGAGGTCCAGCGCCGATCCAAGAAATCAGCGCGGACCTCCAGAACTGGGTGTTTGAAGGGGCCCTGGGACACACAAATAAATACACACAAATACAAGGATTCCCCATATTTTCACATATGTTCTGGGTTTTCGTTTTCCCCACCACTTCCCACCACTTCCCATATTTTACCATATTTTGTGGGGGATCGACGATTAATTGTGTCGTTAATATTCGAAAGCTCTTGCGCCTAGACATTCACGGCGGACAGGTCCATGCGAGTAGATGCACATATGGGGAGCTCCACGCAGTGAATAATTGTGTCTGTGTGTTTTTTCTCTCCCCTCCTGAGTGTTTACGGTCAGGAACTTTCGCGGAGCGTGTCGCAGCGTCGGCCCCGGCGGCGCGCTGTGCCCTGCGGGCGCATGGCGAGGCTCGCTCGGGACGCTGACGCCCGAGGGCCGGGCAAGCGGACAGCGTCTCGCGCCGAGGCGTGGTGGGCCAGAACCAGCGGAGCGACCAGTGATCCAACAGTTCCCGAGCGTACTCCGAGTTCGTCAATAAGCGTGGCGGGGGGGGGAGGCGCCCCCCCCCGCCGTCAGCCCCACATCGGCCCCCGTCGCGGACAGCCGCCGTGCGCCGAGGGCGCTCCAACCCCCGTCGCGGCGCGCCGACGAGGCGAGATCGACCCCCGTCGGGGGGGGGGACCCCCCCACGCTCATTCGCGAGCTCGGAGTCTGGATTCCTGCTGCTCCTCGAATCTTCCCGCGGCGGCCTGCCCCATGCGCGGGGGCGTCGCCGGCGCGGAGCCGCCGTCGGGCGCGGCCGCGGGCGCCGGTGCGCCCTGCGGCGGCATCGCCAGCAGCGGCGGCAGCTGCTGGGCGGCGGCCGCCTGCTGCAGGGCCGCCGCCTGCTGTGCGGCGGCCGCCTGCTGGGCGGCGGCCGCCTGCTGAGCGTGCCAGGCGGCCTGCTGCGCCATCATCTGCTGCGCCTGGCGGTAGCTGCTCCTCCTCCTCCTCCTCCTCCTCCTCCTCCTCGTCCTCCTCCTCCTCCTCCTCCTCCGTCGTCCCGCCTCCCCCCCCCATCGCCCTCCTCGGCCTCCTGCGCTGCTTTTCCGCCCCTCTCCCCGTCCTGCAACGCTCGTCGTCATCCCCGCCCATACCCTCCTCCTCCTCCTCCTGCTGCTGCTGCTGCTGCTGCTCCTCCTGCTCCTCCCTATCCGTCTTCTCCTATTCTGCCTCATCCTCCTCCTGCCTTGTCCTCCTCTCCCCTCCCTGGATCCCCCTGGAACCACCAACTACCCAGTAGATTTCCCGAGCCTGGTCACCAACATTGAACTTGGGTACTCTGAAGAAAAAGACAAACTGCGCTGATGGAATGCATTAATCTCTCTCTCTCTCTCTTTTTGTTCTCTCTCTCTCTCTCTCTTTTCTTTCAGTTCCGAGCTGCATGCTGTGATTCGTGTTCGGTGACCTTTTCCTTTCCGCTTCCAAATCTGGACCTGGCCTGCGCTTTGCTGGCTGTCATCCGTACTCGATGCGCGTCAACACGTTTCACCTACCACACGACCGTCGATCATGTTTGAGCCGTTTCGACACACGTTTGACATTCTATTTCCTGTCCGTTTTTGGCTCGCGCGCGGAACGTTTTTCTCTTCCGATTTGGGCTTCTGTTTTGTTTCCTCTTTGGTCGGCCGCAACCAGGAAAGTTGAAAACTCAAAGACGCGCCCCTACCAGCACTTCTACGGACTGCCGAATCGTGGGCCCCTGAAAGCTCTACTCCCTCCCCCGTCGACTCTCACCCCATTCCTCTTCCCCCCGCCCTTTTCTTTTGTCCGTTGTTGTTGTCGTCGTCGTTGTCGTTGTTGCTGTTGTTGCTGCTGCTGCTGCTGCCACTGCTGTTGTTGTTCCTGATGGAATCAGTTCTACTACTATTTTTATTACTAGTAGTATTGTTGTTGTCGTTATTGTTGTTGTTGTAGCTGCTGTTGTTGTTGTTGTTGGTGGTTATGGGTTCGTTCGTTCGTTCGTTTGTTTGTTTGTTTGTTTGTTTGTTTGTGTGCTTGTTTGTTCATTTTTATATCTCTCTCCCTCTCTCCCTGTCTCCCCATCCTCTCTCTTTGTTGTTGTTTTTTGTTTCTCTCTCTCTCTCTCTCACACTCTCTCTCTCCCTCCTAAGCGCGCTCCCCAGCCCGCGGGGGAGGAGGGAGGGGGGGGGGCAAATCAGATCTAGCGGTCCTGGGGACGCAGCGTGCGTCAAGCAATGACCCTGCCGTGAAGACGCGCCCCCAGCCCTCCCAGGCCTGTCCTGGCGGCGGGTTCATGGTGAAGGGCCCCTGGAGACCCACGACAACAGAGCGCATGACCCGCTGCCCTGTCTTGCCCATCGGCATCTGACCCCAGCGCTCATAGCCAACGGTGCTGGTCCCACCTTCTCTACCACATGCTGCCACTGCCTGCAGTCTCGCACGCGGAGGCCTCTTCCTGCTGTCATTGACTGCGTTCCCCACACGCGATGGAACGTGCATTGTAGCTGAGAACGTGGGGCTCGCCTGCGTCCCCCCGCTTGCAAACACTTCCCCATTGCTCACACCTGCTGCCCGTGCATGCTGTGTCGCAAGAGTCGGCCCCTCCCACCCATCCTCCTTTTCCCTTCCACCCGCTCGCTTCCTCCTCCCTCCCTCCTTCCTCCCTCCTCCTTCTCCTCCTCCTCCTCCCGCCTCCCCCTCCCTCTCTCCTCCCTCCTCCACTCCCCTCCCTCCTCCTCCTCCTCCTCCTCCTCCTCCTCCTCGTCCTCCTCCTCCTCCTCCCTCTCTCCTCCTTCCCTCCTCCTTCCCTCCTTCTCCTCCTCCTCTCTCCCTCTCTCCTCCTTTCCTCCTCCTTTTCCTCCTCCTCCCTCTTCCTCCTCCACACCCCTCCTTCTCCATCCTCCTCCTGGCTGCGCCTGCGCCATCATGTACTGCTGCGCTGCCATCTGCGCGGCCGGGTCGGGCTGTGTTGCCGGGAAAACCTTGAGGCGCCGGGGGGGGGAGCTGGGCAGCCCGACCCCCGACGCGGGCACCAGCAAGGAGACAACTCTCCTGCTGCTACCTCGGCGGCGAGCCCTGGGCGGAACGAAGACACGGAAAACCAAGGCTGGGGACCTTCTGAGAGGCCCCGCGCCTTCTGAGAAGGCCTCCTCCTTCTCGCCCCCCCCCCCCCCTTCGCTCGCAGCCGATTACTACTGCACCAGTGCTGCTACAGAAGCAATCGATTCATTAATGCCTTTGTGGGTGGATGGGGTCGGCGTCAGTGATTGAATTTCTACCGAAACCACTTGTACATATAATCCCCGTGGGCATGGAAGGGAGGGATGGTGTGGGCGTCGTCCCTGCCGTCATTTTTGCAAACACGAGCGTAACGCATGAATAATTCGATGGGTGCGTGGGGCGGCCAACGCTCCCATGTAATCCGTATTGAAAACCGAAGGAACACTTGGATCCTGTTGAAACAGGTGGGATGGGCGTCGCTCCAATTGAAGTACAAGTCGCAACCGACGCTTAGTATCACTACCACAAGACGGGTGGTGGGAAGGCCGCCCTCCCCGTAGATCCTGATTGAAGAGGTAACGCATAGTTGACATAGTCTGCGGGGAAGATGAGGTGGCCTCTCTCTCTATATATATCTATATATCAAATCTCGGCGGGCAACACATTTGTATGTATATATATATATATATATATATATGTATTTCCCCATATCCTAAGATGGGGTTCTTGTTATTACTTGGACGCCTCCTACTCCTTCTTCTTCTCCTCCTCCCCTCTTCTCGTCTCCTCCTACTTAGACTCACTCATACTCAGATTCACTCATACACAGACTTACTCATACACAGACTTACTCATACACAGACTCACTCATACTCAGACCTGATCACATTAACTTACTCATACTCAGACCTACTCATACCCAGACCTACTCATACTCAGACTTACTCATACTCAGACTTCCTCCTTCTCCTCCTCCTTTTACTCAGAGTTCCTCATACACAGACTTACTCATACTCAGAATTACTCATACTCAGACCTTCTCATTGTCTGACTTATTCGATAAACAGCAGATTGCGAGGATGTCTCAGGCGGGGCGCTGGTTTCAGCACCCCTAAGGGGAGCCGCCGAGGGGTGTTGCACGGTCCCGTTCGCGGCCGTTTTGTGGGGATGTCTCAGGCGGTTTGCCTGTTTGTCTTGCCAACATCCTTCGCTTTCGGAGCAGATTTGGAGGATGTCTCGAGCGAGGCGCTCATTTTCACCCCCCAGGTGGGCCAGATTTTGAGGATGTCTCGATCGGTTTGCTTGTTTTGGTGGCCAGGCTCGTGGCCCTAAGGGGAGCCGCCGAGGGGTGTTGCACGGTCCCGTTCGCGGCCGTTTTGTGGGGATGTCTCAGGCGGTTTGCCTGTTTGTCTTGCCAACATCCTTCGCTTTCGGAGCAGATTTGGAGGATGTCTCGAGCGAGGCGCTCATTTTCACCCCCCAGGTGGGCCAGATTTTGAGGATGTCTCGATCGGTTTGCTTGTTTTGGTGGCCAGGCTCGTGGCCCTAAGGGGAGCCGCCGAGGGGTGTTGCACGGTCCCGTTCGCGGCCGTTTTGTGGGGATGTCTCAGGCGGTTTGCTTGTTTGTCTTGCCAACATCCTTCGCTTTCGGAGCAGATTTGGAGGATGTCTCGAGCGAGGCGCTCATTTTCACCCCCCAGGTGGGCCAGATTTTGAGGATGTCTCGATCGGTTTGCTTGTTTTGGTGGCCAGGCTCGTGGCCCTAAGGGGAGCCGCCAGGGGTGGTTGCACGGGCTCGTTCGCGGCCATTTTGTGGGGATGTCTCAGGCGGTTTGCTTGTTTCTGTGCCCAACATCCTTCGCTTTCGGAGCAGATTTGGAGGATGTCTCGAGCGAGGCGCTCATTTTCACCCCCCAGGTGGGCCAGATTTTGAGGATGTCTCGATCGGTTTGCTTGTTTTGGTGGCCAGGCTCGTGGCCCTAAGGGGAGCCGCCAGGGGTGGTTGCACGGGCTCGTTCGCGGCCATTTTGTGGGGATGTCTCAGGCGGTTTGCTTGTTTCTGGGCCCAAAATCCTTCGCTTTCGGAGCAGATTTGGAGGATGTCTCGAGCGAGGCGCTAATTTTCACCCCCCAGGTGGGCCAGACTCCAGGAGGCCCCAGGAGACCACATGAGGTACCAGGAGGCATCAGGAGGCCACAGAAAGACTCAAGAGGCCACAGGATGTCCCAAGAGGCTCCAGGAGGCCCCAGGAAGCTCCAGAAGGCCTCAGGAAACCACAGGAGGCCCCAGGAGGCAACAGGAAGCGCCAGGAGGCCTCGGAAGGCAACAGGAGGCCCCGAGAGGCCCCAGGAGCAGGAGGCCTCAGAAGGCAACAGGAGTGGCTCCAATCCCATGTGTTTTACGTATGCTCCTATCGATTGGGCCTCACCTGGAGCACGATTCTTTGATGTTCTACGTATGTTTCTATAGATGGTCCTTCTCCTGTGTACACAATCCTAAATGTTTTACTCATGTTCCTATATATTGGGCCTCTCCTGGGGCACGAGTCCTTGGTGTTTTACGCGTGTTCCTATAGATTGCCCTTCTCCTGTGGCTCTAATCCGCAATGTTTTATGTACGTCTGTTGCTATAGATTGCGCCTCTCCTGGGGCACGAAACCTTCCTAGGAGGTCCCAGGAGGTCCCAAGAGGCTCCTGGAGACCCCAGGAAACCCCAGTAGGTTTCAGGAGGCCCCAGGAGGCCCCAGGCTCATGCACAGAGACGCGCTCGTACTACTGAGGCTCATTCACACTCCAATTCATTCGCAGTTAGATTGATGTCCAGACCATCACAACTGAAGCCTGTTAATATTCGAAAGCTCTTGCGCCTAGACATTCACGGCGGACAGGTCCATGCGAGTAGATGCACATATGTGGAGCTCCACGCAGTGAATAATGTTTGAGTGTTGTGCGGATATGGGATGGGCGCTAGTCCGATGACAACGAACCGACAACTTCAATTGCTCTACAAAGGGGCCGTATGACCGTCTTTCTTATTACAACTCCACAGAAGGCAAACATCATAGTTGAAGGCTTCTGCGGGGGGACTGGGTGGCCGGCGTTCCGACCGAGTCCTTTTGGAAATCAAAGAAAGTTCATTGAAAAACTCGCGGCGCCTGCGTCGGCGGCGGCTGGCGGCGGCGGCGAGGACGACGACTTTCTTTTCTGGGCCGGCGCCGGCGCCAGCGGCGGCGGGCGGCGGCGGCGGGGAGCGTCGACGAGGACGATGGTGGTTGTGGTGGTGGTGGGTGGTGGTGGTGGTAGCGGTGGTAATGGTTGTGGTGGTGGTGGTGTGGTGGTTTGTTGTAGTGGTGGTGGTTGTGGTGGGTGGTGGTGGTGGTGGTGGTGGGTGGTTTGGTGGTGGTGTGGTGGTGGTGGCGGTGGGTTGTGGTGGTGGTGGTGGTTTGGTGGTGGTGTGGTTGTGATTTGTGGTGGTGGTGGTGGCTTGTGGTGGTGGCGGTGGTTTGTGGAGGTGGTTCCGGTGGTGGTGGTGGTGGCGGTGGTGGTGGTGGTGTGGTGGTTTGTGGTGGTGGTGGTGGGTTGTGCTGCTGGTAGTGGTGGCGGTTGTGGCGGTGGTGGTGGTGTGGTGGGGTGGTGGTGGTGGTGGTGGTGGTAGTAGTCGTGGTGGGCTTTTGTAGTGATGGTGGTGGTGATGGTGGTGGTGGCTGTGGTGGCGGTGGTGGTGGTGGTGGTGGTGGTGGTGTGGTGGGTTGGGTGGGTTGGTGGTGGTGGTGGTGGGTTGAGGCGGTGGTGGTGGTGGTAGTGGCGGTGGTGGTGGTCGAGGTGGTAATCGTCGCTGCGTCCCCGCCGTCGCCGGCGCCAGCGCGGGCGCTGCTGGCCGCCGCTCGCGCCGGCGCCAACGCCGGCGCTAGCGCCAGGGGGAGTGGTTTTGATCCCCCCCACGCCCCCCCCCCCCCCTTGGGCTGCCTCTGTTCATCGTCGCTGCGTCCCCGTCGTCGGCGCTGCTGGCGGCCGCCAACGCCGGCGCTGGCGTCGGCGCCGACGGGGGGGGGTTCGGGACAGGGGGGGTTTGGCGGGGAGAGGAGTCCCCCTTGGTTTTGATCGATGGCGCCGAACCACCCCCCCCGGTTTGAAACGCGCCGCCGAATGTTCCCAAGGCGTGCGCCCGTGAAACGCGCTCTCTCAGAAGTAGCAGTAGTAGTAGAAGCAGTAGTAGTCGTCGTCGTCGTCGTCGTCGTCGTCGTCGTCGTCGTCGTCGTCGTCGTCGTCGTCGTAGTAGTAGTAGTAGTAGTAGTAGTAGTAGTAGTAGTAGTAGTAGTAGTTGTTGTAGTCGTACTAGTAGTAGAAATAGTGGTACTAGTAGTAGTAATGTAAGTAATATTGACCGTAGTAATAGAAGTAGTAGTCGTGGTAGTAGTAGTAGTAGTAGTAGAAGTAGTAGTAGTAGTAGCCGTACTAGTAGTAGTAGTTGTAGTAGTCGTAGTCGTAGTAGTAGTAGTAGTAGTAGTAGTAGTAGTAGTAGTAGTAGCAGTAGTAGTAGCAGTAGTAGTCGTAGTAGTAGTAGTAGTAGTAGTAGTAGTAGTAGTAGTAGTAGTAGTAGTAGTAGTAGTAGTAGTAGTAGTCGTACTAGTAGTAGTAGTAGTAGTAGTAGTAGTAGTAGTAGTAGTAGTAGTAGTAGTAGTAGTAGTCGTCGTAGTAGTAGCAGTAGTAGTAGTAGTAGTAGTTGTTGTAGTAGTACTAGTACTATTACTAGTCGTAGTAATAACTGTGGTAGTAGTGGTAGTCGTACTAGTAGTAGTAGTAGTTAGTAGTAGTAGTAGTAGTAGTAGTAGTAGTAGTAGTAGTCGTAGTAATAGTAGTAGTAGTCGTAGTAGTAGTCGTCGTAGTAGTAGTTGTAGTACTAGTGGTAGTAGTACGATTACTCGTAGTAGTACTAGTAGTCGTAGTCGTGGTCGTAGTCGTAGAAGTAGTAATAGTATTA